CTTACTCATTTTGCTGCTTGTGGGCTCAGTGTTGGCGCAGAAGTAACTAAGAGAATCCGGTTAAAGGATTTTCAAAATAAAAGATCTTCCAGCCTCAAATAATACATAAAACGGAAATATTTAATTATTTCTTGCGTGGCCCGGTACCAATTGGTCCACGGACCGGGGATCGGGGACCACCGCTCTACACAACCACCAGCAGACTCCAAAGACAGCACTAACAAGGCCTCTTTCTAATCTTTGGTGACTTTAATAATTTCTTTCCTTCCTTCCTTCACTCTTCCCACTTTCACCCATTATAACACCTGCCACACCAAACATAACAAAACGCTGGATCTAGTGTACACCAACACGACTCTGCCTCTCCTCGGGGACTCAGATCACAACCTGGTTCATCTCCAGCCTGTGTATAAACCTCTCGTAGACAGAGACCCAGCTGTGACACACACAGTGAAGAGATCGTCTGAGGAAGCTCTAATAGATAGTTGCAGCTCTACTGTGTGGAAAGAGCTCTCTGTCCTCATGGGGAGAATAATGACAGCATTACTGACTGCATCACAGGCTGCATTATGGACAACACTGTATGTTGAAGTAGTGGCTAATCAACTTATCTAAGAGGAAGAAGTTAAATAAACTAATCAGGAAGGAAGGCCAGTTCTGTGCTAGGCTGCCGCCTCGACCCAGACCAGGTGGTGGGATACAGAAGGACTTTGGCTAAAATGACGTTAATGATGGACAATGTCTCCTACCTCATGTATGAAACTGTTGCTGAACTGGACTGTCATTTCCTGTATGTTCCTGTGTGTTGTCGTCTCAGTAGCTATTATTTGGAAATCCTAGAATTTTTCAGAAAAATTTTCAGATAGTCATTGCCACTGCTTTTCATATAGACAATAAGATATGCAGAACGTGTCAGCCTTGAAAAATCGAATAGAACGGATTTATGCTGCCTGTTGTGATGTGAACTTGAATGAAAGCAATGATCTCAAAAGGCAAAGAAAAAAAACCCATACATTTTAGGATCAGATCACCCAGCACAGCAGTTTGCTGTTGTGTGTGGTGCTTTTATTACCATATGACACAAGACTGTTGCATTTTCAGTGTTACTGGGATTAAAGAAAAAAGGGCAAGATCAGAGGAGGCTGGAAAGATCGTGTGCTAATAACACAATGTGTGAAACTAATCTATCTTTTACGGGAATAAACAAGCATAGAGCTTGCTGCAGGCAAAGAATCAGATTATGACAAGCCTAATTACTGTGGAATGTCACATTGTGAGCATGTTGCCAAATGAAATTTAAAAACACCAGACATAGAATTTTATTCAAATGTCAATAGAAGTAGAAAAAAGAATCCATTAAAAGAATTCAAAACATGACTTGTGTACTTAGAAAATAGAAAGGTATGTGTAACTAAATGGTTTTGTAGCCTTTCAGAATAAAATTACCTCTGCTGAGACTGCTAATGACCCTGAAATTAGTCATAAAGAAATCAGATCATGAAAAACCCCCCCCCAAAAAACAACACTAGAGGATATTATGTAATGTTAATTTTTTTGCAGTGTGTCTCATTTAAATGTAGGTGAATCAGTATAGGAGAAGTGGAATAGCTGAATATCATTCAAATGATGAGTACAGTTATTAAAATAAGACGTCCCAATCAGTTAGATGCTTTTTCATATATTGATATAAAAAACAAATAAAAAAATAATTAAATTAATGGCAACATTTTTCTCAGTTTAAGTCCAATGAGACCATTCACATCAGGAGTCAGGCCATGTAATCAACATCCAAAAATAATAAAAATTGTTACACAAAAACACATGAAGAAAATGGTGTGCAAAACTGCACAGAAAGCCAAAGCTTTCCTGCTGCTATGAGACGACAATATCTCCAGCTTAACATTGAGCTGGAATTAAGTGAAAGAAAACTTTCACTTAATTGTGGAAGCTTCCTTTCACAATTAAGTCTTACTGTTGCAATATATATGAATGAAAATGGTCACAGCTGCATTTGTAAACTTCTAAATGTTCCAGTGAACGCCATTTGTTCCATAATCCAGAAATGATGAAAATAACAATTTCATAATCAGCCATCAACAGCTCAGTGCCTTTCGTATGATTTCTCTTTGGTTTTCAAGAGAAAGACCAAAAGCTCACAAAATGCTTAAGAAATGCCTGGAAATAGCAGGTACAGTTGTCCCCATGAAAACAATAACTACTGCACTCAACCACAACGGCCTCTATGCACAAACTGCACTGGGAGAATGGTCAGGTCAAAGCTGTGTTCTCAGGATAACTTAGCACACAACAGAGAAAACATCAGCACAAAAACACCATGACTAAAGACATAAGTGTTCGTTCCGTATTTTACTCACTGTACAGCCCTTCTAGAAGTGGCACACTCCAGGAGGACCTAATAAGTGTTAAAAGGGAACAAACTATCTAGGATCTAGTTCTTGACCTGCTGTCTGAATGGACAGATGGGTGATAAACGATTTATAGATAAAGGATTTACCATTTCCATTTTAACACTGACGGCAAAAATGACAAGGACAAGTTCTTGGTTGACATTTATTCAAACCTTTTTGTCATGTTGTGAATATGTTAAATACTTATGTATTTGACAGAAATATACAATATGCAGCATCATTTGTTCCCTCTGTCTCATTTTGCTCAGAAAACGTTCCTTTTAAATGCTTACTTTCCAAATTACATTGTCAAAAGTGTTCGTGAAAACCTTTCTGGATGTATTGTCATAGAAACAAACACTTTCCTTAAACCCAATGTGAAGACGATGGTTTTCACAGTAGGTTGAAACAGTCTCTTGAGTCATTAAGAAAAATAATGCGGTATAAAGGATTTTAAGGCGTATCGCTTTGAAGCTCCTTGTTTGCTCCCATTAAACTTTTTTGCACAAATCAAAGTGGGCCATGCTGGCATGTATGCAGTTGTGTTATTACAGTGTTTTTAACTGCTGCTTCTGCTCGACCCAATGAAATGTAAGCTTACAATGGAACAGATGTAGTTAATGTGCACAGCCTGTACCGTTATTAAAGTTTAGGCTACAACTGGTCAACTGCAGAAAAACCCGGAGGGCCTTTTAGGAGTGACACGTATAAAAGTATGTACAAAGGCTAACACTGGACAAAGGAGCTGTGCAGAAGTCCTAAGCAAGAAAATGCTTCACTAACATGCTAGGTTTCTTTTAATTATGGAGAAGGACAATTGTGTCAAATGTTAAAAATATATGGCAATTGCATCTGAGCAACCTACATTTTCTTTGGCCAAGAGAAATACTATCACCACACAGTTATTGGTGAAATGAAAGTAACTAGAGAAAACAAAAATTGTGAATGGATCCATCCCAGGTTGCCACGTACATAAAAATGGACTAAAGTTGTTTCAGATGTTACTATAAAACAAACGTGTTGAATTAACTTCAACTTCTTGCGTCACCTTCACCACTTGACAATTTGGTGCATAGTGGGACTCTACTTGTAAATGACTGCACATGCAAGTTTGTGGTAATGAATTAATCAGCATATTGCTAAAAATATGTGCAAAAGACAGGCCACTAATGCAAACAATCTGGTTCTTTTATTTAATAAAAATCTGTCTAAACTCTCAGAACCTGCTAGGAAATAAAAGAATAAACTGCTCATTGTCATTTCCAGGTTTTACAGTAACATTTCAGTCACTCTTCAGTTTCCTGTCTTTAGATTTATCACTTCATTTAACACATTTGATCCCACCTATTTTATGTATTTTTTTTTAGCAACCAGACAATTCCTTAGAAGATTACACAAATCATAAAGTTTGTTTCGTGAAGCAATAAAATATTATTTTGGTTTTTATACAAAATAGACCAAAGGGAAATTTCATGTTCTTCAGAATGTAAAAAAAATTAGTTATGCTTTTTATGCTATAACGTTTGAGTGCAAAGGGACAAAGGTTTGTTTTACTTTACTGAAAAAAATGAGTGTCACCTAATAAATATATGAAATTTTTAGTATGTCACTTTATTACGGAACATCTATGGAACCCTCCTGTTGCCCAAAATACAGTTCTGCTACAGGCTTAATTACATTCTTATGAACTATTACTTAAGTTCTAAGCAACTACTGAAAAATGTCTAATTTGAAAAGATGAAAATGTACGTACCCATAAAAATCACATTTATGACTTAGCTGTTTAAACAGGAATGAAACCACTGTTCTATTTCATATGTTTTACGATATTTTATTGCGATGGAAAAAAAAAAAAAAAGAAATTATCTCCCCTATCAGATTAAATGTCTCCTTTCCAACAATGTTCTCCCAAAGGACCATTTTTAGAAGTTGCCTCTCTTTTAAACTCAAGTTTTAAGTTGTCACAAACTTTATAAAAAAAAAAAAAGTGTGTTTGCTATTGATTAAACCAAAATAAAGGCTCATATGTGGCACTACCATTAATAATTTCAAAAAGCGTCATGCTCGCATTCAGAAACTGTGACCATAAACTTTCACCACTCTACCTAAGCAGTAAGAGGAATGGCTGGACAGTTAACATGAGGAGATGTCATGCATATGGGTGCTTTATATGCCATCAACATACTTGCAGCCAAGTATAAAGTACACACATATGCAATGTGTACTCATCAGCGTGGAATACTGCTTATGAACAACTTAACCTGGAATTAATCCCCCAAGTAAACAACTCTTTAAAAGTTACTACAAAACAAGAGGTATTTTCTTAAAAGCTCATATAAGACGGATATAGTCAGATAAGATAATGCACAAATCATTTCTGTTCCCTGAAACCCCTGAAAACTTAAATGTGTGTGAATGTTGACACTCTGGGATCTTACAGATGTGTTCTTATACGCTCAAACAAGCATAAATGGGTAAGTCGATATTTCACAGACACACGGCGCCTGTGTGTTACGTGCTGCTTATCCTTCAACAAAAACAACAACGTAGCTCCGTAAAACTCAAAAAAATAATGAAGACAAAAAAAAAATGTAATGATCAACTCAATGTTAACATGACACAGGTAAGAAGTGAGTACAGGAACGAACAGACAGGTTCACATGCAATATACATGGCAATGAAGGTGATCAGCATACAGAAACACATTAAAAATAAGTTTAACAGCTGACAGTTATTTTAGATAAGACGAAGCATGGCACAGCAAACCACAACGGCATTCAATTTAAGTAACATTAAACAAAAGATGGATTACGCCTCCATTAACTGGTTCATCTGCACATTGAGGTTGATATATGACGCTCAGATTGCTTAAATTTAACAATCATGTAAATGGAATTATGAAATCTGATTAATCTAAAGACACAACTACCGGACTAAAGCAATCTACACACACCACCTGGCAGACAGAAATCCTGCTGTGAAATATCCATACATAGCATCAAATGTTAAAAAGAAATCAGGGAAAAGGGTTTTCTTAATATTTTTCCAACACTTTAATTTTCTTTATATCAGGAATTTTGCTTCTATTTAGTAATTTAAACATTTGTTCATTTTTTTTTTACAAAAACAAGTGCATCAATATAGTCGTTAAAATCTTGTCAACCATTCTTTTCTTTTTTTGCTTTATTCAAGAAGCGGTCTTTCTGCAGGGTTTACGGTGAAGGCAACAAGGATAGATGAGTGTGTGTTTGTGCAATGTATGTTTAGAGGTGTGTATCTTTTAGTGTTGGTGCAAAAGAAAAGGTTGTGGTTTCTATCCAGATGGCTTGAGTCATGTGTGTATTCCCTCTGGGTGCTCAGATCAGGTTCAAGACCATAAATCATCCTCTCTACATCGTATAGATATGAATATAATAATACTTTATTACTCATTGTCGTTGATCCTTAATATGGCGAAACAAAAAAACCCTCCAAAATATCAAAAACATTGAAAAGATTTGACTGCAACATCACATAGGAAGTGAAATAAAACTCAAAGGTACAACAGAGTAGTATAAACATTGTGCTTCTTTAATTTTACTTACTACAGTCCTCCATTGTCCTTGTAGTCTTTTAGTTTAAATTTTGTTATATTTAATATATAGATATATATATGTATGTATATAGAGAGGTAAATGTACACGTATAGTCCGCACTGAGGTTTGTCTTTTGTGGCAAGCAGAGAGGCTACTCGGGGCATCCAGCTTTCATCATCCTCTTTATATGCGTCCTTTTTCCACAAGCAATTATTTTTGCTTGATTCATTCATGTGGTTCTTCATCTCTTTGTCAGTAGTTTCCAACTACCCCAAAGAACGATGCAAAAAGATGGCAGTCTTTGTAAAAAAAAAAAAAAAAAAAATCCCTTTTTTTTATATTCTCCTGCTTCTTTTCTCACTTTTCTTTTTGGAATCCCTGTTTTTCGTTTTATTCCCTCAGGTTCTTTGTCATCTTTGGTAGCGTGTCCGACACTTTGCTGTGTCTGGAAATAGGGCGCCAGGAGTGTGGGATACGGTGGTTGGAGGGGAGGGTGGATGGTTACAAACAGGATGCACATGGACAAACAAGGCTGATGAAGCACAGAGAAAGGCAAGAAAGAGACACTAATATGAATAAGGTGTTCCTATCATAGTGTTTGAGGTGAAAGATTTACTCTTCTACAAGTATGTCAACCCTTAATACAGATTGTGAGTCAGATGATTATACTCTGAGCATAAATGCTGCAACAGTCAAAGAAAGAGGAGGACAGAAAGTTGACAAACTGATAGATCTTTGTGACATAGGAATGGAACCGATATAAGGCAGGAGGAATATGACAGCGAGCGAGGAGGAGCGACGAGTGACGACACATGTACAAGAGAGGAGGCAGAGAGGAGGAGGAGGAGGAGAAAGGGGAATTTAAAAAGCGCGAGTCAGGGCAGTGTCTGTTAGTACAGACAAGTGGTGGTGCTCTGGTGGGAAGTGCTCATCATCTGTAGAGGAGTGAGAGGGAGCAGGAGAGGCCAAAGGTCAGCCACCTGGCCAGTGGGAGTGACCGTGATCCTCCAATAAGAACTACGGGAAGAAGGCAAAAACAGAAAAAGTCATATCAGTTTATGCAAAGAGGCAGTGCATTTACACTTGACTTTTGAACAGTTTAAATGATTTTTGTGAATCAAAACACTATAAGGTGTGTTCACATAGTTAATTGGAGGTGCTACATTTGGCCAAATTTTAGTTTATTAATGATTTAAATTCTCAAATTAGAGGCATAACTGCTCTTAAAATAGCTTCAGCGAGCACATGATGTCTCTGCACAGTTTGCTGACATTTACAGAAAGTACAACATATGAATTTAGTTTGAAAAACCAGAGATAGAGGTATGCATGTATGTGTTTATATTACCAGTATGTATTTCATTAGATGTTAAAAAAAATACAAAATCTTTCTATGCTTATATCTCATAGTACAATGCGGCTATGCACACTTTTTGATTTTCAAAAATAGTGTGTGTGGCTTATATTCAGGTGTGCTCAATAGTTCGCAAATTATGACACAACATATAAACGTTAATTACAGAAGACAGTAAAAGTTATAGAAAATTAAATTAACTAACTTTGTTACAACAATCCATGTGAGTTGTGGAACACAGAGGCAATAAAGAATCTGTCATTCTCCTTGTTTTTAAAGTTTAGAGCAATGCCTCATAAGATCAATAATTGGATTAATGAAAGTAACAAAAACAACAGGAAAAAGAAGCATTTGTATCTCACAAAATGGTTTATTTCATTACTACTACTGTATAGCTGATGCAAACGTAGGTGCAAATTGCTTCCATCTCCTGAACTGTTTGCCCCTGCATGTATTTAGTGCAATTTGTTTTGTAAATCCAGGGCAAAATAACAGCAAATAGTTGGTTGGTCAAAGACAGGAGGCTGCAATTCCTCATGAATTCCTCCGACGGAGTGTTTTTGGTGAGTTTAAGACTGATGTGCTTAAATGGACTAACATTTCCTTATCAGTTCTGCAGCGATGATGATGATGATGATGATGATGATGATGTCATAAAATATAAATAGAGTGTTTCTTGGATGAGGAAAGTGAGCTGAAATGAAAAGGACCAGTAAAAAAATAGAAGAGCAAACAACAAATTCCAGACTCATTAAAATTAGTCCATAGCTCTAATCTTTTTTTTTGGAATAGTTGTTCAACATGATTTTAAACTCAACCGTCAGCTGGACATTCATGATCAAATGAAGTTTATTTTACAATGTTAAAATCTTATTTTCCTTTCAAAGTTATACACTCTTACCAGCCATCATCTCTTCTACTACACAAACAGTATAGACTTCATAAAGAAATTAAAATTGTTACCTACTTCAACAAAGTTTTATGAATAAAAGAGTGTGTCGTGTATTCCAAAATCAATACGATTTCATAAGAACTGTCCATCCCTCAGGCACAAAATCAATATCTATAATAAAGCTTAGATCAATAAACAGTGCACTCCACATTCCTGTAGCACAGAAGATGGACAATAAATTGAAACAGAATCTGGTGTTCTTGTTAGGATCAATGGATTTTTTATTTTGACCATTTAGTCTTGTAGTGTTTTTTTTATTATTATTTATTTATTGTTAGTGCAGAAATCTGTTGAAAGCTTTGTGGTCTTTTTGTTTTAACTTTCTATAAAGTCACATATTCTCTTACTGTTGGTCTATTTCATCTAGAAATCTATTCTGAGCAACTCAATAACCAGGTGTGAGTTACTCATCACTACCTTTAAATTAGCAGTTTTTGTTCCCCTCTTATCATGTCCGTATTTCTGATGGTATTTCTTCGGTCTTTCAAGTCTTCATTTGGAATTTTAACGCACGTTTATTTTGATTCCTCATTACGCTTTCTGATTGACATTGTAAGTCCAATTGAAATGCTCAATTGTATATTATGTATACCATTGTGCTGGAATAGTGTGGTTTGCATATGCATGCATTTAGTTCTTTGTACAATTAATGACAGGTTTTGTTTTTTTTTTTTTTGCCAAACAATTGCTTTAATTTATTTCCATTTCTGAGGGGATCATCTCCAAAAGCTTCAGAAAATTCTCCCTGCTTGTATCATCAGCAAATAGTATGGATTTTACCATGTTCAACACTATATGTGTATTTTAAATATATCACAAACGATTTATATTACCGACACATGATCTACTTACAAAGTCACTTTGACTCAGAGAAGCTGTGCCAGAAACATTTTGGATTTCTAAAATTTCTGGCTGTAAAGGTTTCCCACCCCTTCGTAAGAATGTAGACTAAAGTCTTACGTGTTACTGGAAATGTCAATTCTGATAAAAAGCCACTTAAGAGAGATTGATTTCATTTTTTTTTTTTTTTGTAAAGGTACCATTTTCTTTTACCATCTCCTTTGATCCATGAACAACATAAGCCAGGTGGAGCTTTGTGATTTGTGCAGCTGGAGTTGCACTAAATAAGTCAGAGGCAATCATCTTTCATTTAGCACAAGAGTCCCTTGTGTATACACTCAGTTAACCTGATATAAATGTGAGCATTGTTAAATGTAGGCTGCTTATTCATAGCGGTAATAAATGGAAAAACTTTAGGTTTTGATTTGTTTTTATGTCATTTTTACACAGCATGTGGTGTGTGCTTATTTGGGTCAGGTTGAAGTTCAAAATGCCGACCACTTGTTGGCCTGGGAAATCATAACTCAGGCCAGGATAACCGGACTGTTCAACATTTTTTCAGCCACAAAGCTGGAGACTGTGCTTGATGCTGAAAGTAATGTCAGCCCAGCAGAACACTTTCAGACTATCCTTTCAAAAAATAAAAATAAAATCTGCAGGTGAATCTTTTTTAGATGCGGAATTTTGTGTGGTTTGTGCGTGAGACACAGCTTGGTTTTCCATGATGGGGGACACGACTGAGCTTGGTTCCTCTCCCACAAAAGGGGGAGGCAGAATGGCATCGGTCTCTATGGGGCAAACAAAGTCCCAGTGGGAAAACAACACCTGTACTTAAGCCTATTTAGGAACTTTGGACGGGAGAAACAAGGTCAGAACTCGTGCTTTTAAGGCTCACTACATGAGATGCAACTTGTATTCATCATGTTATTTTACCTTCTTTTAATTGTGTTTCCTTTCTACTTCATTATGTGCTGAAAACTCATTATGTGCTACTTATTTTACCTTGCAGAACCAATGCAGGTAACATTGCAAGAGACATACGTATGTCTCTTGCAAGGGCAAAGACTTTCGTGTCGCCCGCCTGATAATTACCCATCTGTCTGTGCCATGCGAGTCTCAAAGAACCCGCAGGACACAATCGCACATGCACACTCTTTGAGCTCAAGAGCTTTCCTCTTCCTGTTTATGCCATCATCTATTATTTACACCATCCGCCAGTGTTGTTACATGCACATATGTGTTACATTGCAGCACAGGCTTGTAGGCGTGCTCATACACATGCATCTCACGCAGTACGTTCCAAAAGGTTTAAAAAGAAAACACAAGTTGTTAATAATTCATTGACATTCATGTTTTTTGCTGCTACGAGATGATTTTGTGGCTCTGATATTTTCTCTGTCACAAATCCAAGCAAAAGTTAACAAAGCCCTGCAGATTCCCACCACATGTTGCTGAATAAAATCAAGCTTGTTGCTGTAATACTCAAATCACACGTCTCACTTCTTCCTGGAGTTGCCGCCCTTTTGATCTGCTTGAGGTTTATTTAGCGTCTTTGACTGTTAGCCTGTATTTTTCACAAGTTTAAAAGAATTAAGAGGACAGGAACACTAAAAGCAGCGGCGGCATGGACTAAGCCAGCTGAGTCAGTGCTGAGCCTGTACTTTCTATAAAATAGTTTCTGAGTTTGAGTCTTGGATTCAAATTTTTCAGAACCAACAAAGCATTACTTCCCATCCTTCTGACCACATTTTAGCAGTCTAAAGCATGTGGATTCACACACTTTAGTCTCTCTATGTTTTTGACCTTTTGTTCTTTCTTTGACCCTTTAGGCTAGTTGTGTCACTCCGCATGCTTACTTTGACATGAAGTGTTTTGCTGAAACTGTGTTGTGTGTGTGTGTGTGCGTTTGTTTGTAATACCTTGTGGGGACGATTTTCCTGACATATACTACGTTGTGAGGACCAATTGCTCCTTGTGGGGACCTGAGCCTGGTCCCCACAAGGGGAAACCCTGCTTTTGGGTCAGGGGTCAGAGTTAGGACTAAGGTATGAATTGAGTTTTGGTTAGGGTTAGGGTGAGGTATGTGATGATTAGGGTTAGGAAAAGGGTAAAGGTAAGGTTTAGGCTGTAGAAATGAATGGAAGTCAATGGAAAGTCCCCACAAAAATAGCCACACAAACATGCATGCGCGCGCGTGTGTGTGTGTGTGTGTGTGTGTGTGTGTGTGTGTGTGTGTGTGTGTGTGTGTGTGTGCGTGTGTGTGTGTGTTACCCTCAAGGTAAAGTTGCTTGATAACGGCCGTGTTTCTGTTTTAGGAGTTTAATCTCAGTTCATCAAGTGGCTTTTTTCTTTTTCTTAAAATCATTACTAGACAGAAGAAGTCTTATGTGTGCAGGTGCAAATTTATGTGAGGTACACACTAGTGCTACCTCCATATCCACCACCCATAGCACTCTGTGCTAAAATAATGCAAAATGGCTCAACGTGTAGCACAAAAATGTGAAACTAATAAATATTGTTAAATGTGACCAAGAGTTAGTGAGAACCTGATTTATATGTTGGTACTGGTGCTGGGTCAAAAATAGGTAATAATCCAGTGAATTAATCAATATTCTGCATTGACACAATTTAGGTAACTATTAGTTACCTAAATTGTTACCTAAATTGTGTCAATGCAAAATGAAAACAAAGATAAAGCAAGGACAATAAAATTAAGCTTTTACAGCTTGTTGGCTTAGTTGCAAACTGAAATCCCAAATAAAATTCATGTAACATTCATAAAATTATGAGTCAGCTTTTACAGAAATTCTTCCTAAAAACCACAAACAATGTGTTAGCAGTTTAAAGTTGTCTTTTTTTTTTTTTTTACCTCTGTGTCATTTACAATCTTGAAATTACACTTATTTTATATATATAGAAAAACTTTTTTAACAAATGGTGTTCTTTCATTTCCTTTTCACGCCGAAGGGTAAATAACTGAACCTCTCCAACATGAGGCATGGTGTGCAGAGGCAAACATTTATCAGAGGGGAAGATCGAGCAAGGAGGAGAGGTGAGGCATAATGAAGTTGAATATAGGGAAGGCAGCAGGAGTGTGATGTGACAAATTAGAAAATGAAAACAGAGGTAAAATTGGGTGAAACAATTGCTGCTGAGGAAAGACACAAAGAAAAATATTTCCTCTATTTCCTCTATACACTGAAACGGGTATTTATTTCTCTTAAAAGCTAAAGAGAAAGAAACTTTTTCTTTCTCTTCAGTCTGTATATTATGCGTTAGCTAATATTATTTCAGCTTAAATTAAATTGTCTACCTTTTAACACATGCTGCGCTGGCTGTCTTAGTGAAAATTGTTATGCATGTTCAGAAGCATTTCTCTTCACACACACTTGGGGCACCAGTCATATCCCATCAGTCACATCTTACCTGTCTTACCTGCGTTGGCTACCGTGTTCTCCTGCTTGCACTTTCCTATGGTGATGGACACATCGTCAATGGCGATATCTCCCTCAAAGCCTGCGCCTCGGATTCCTTCAAACACAATCTGTTTGGGAAAGACAGAGACGAGCAAGATGCTATGTCAGTTAATTTAAAAGGTAAACAACAACCTGAACATCCGCCTCAGATCCACACCAGTGGAGTGGTCAGTGGTAAAAATGTGGTGGGATATTTTTGTGGTTGGTTAAGGACCTGTTAGTCATTCACTCAATCATGTATAGTTGTAATACAAGGTATTGTTGTTTTTCTCATTTCTTGGGTTTCTGAAATTATACCTTTAAATATTTAAACATTTAGGGATAAACTTAAAATTATATATTTTTTTAAAGAGCTTTAAACAGATACACTGACAGGAAACTGGAAAATATGAAGACAATATTCTTAGCATTCACGCTTATGTATAGTAATGTTTTCTGGGACCACAACAACGAGACTAAACGGGAGTCTCATCTGAAAACTTCCCATTTTAGCCAACAGCCATCTGGTTTCTGAGTGACAGCCTAATTACTGCGGTGTAACAAAGGCACCAAAAGCCCATTGCACCCAGCTAATCAAAAAAACAAGCACATTCTTTCTGAGGAAGGAAAATAGAACAAACAAGGAAACTTTGTTGCTTCAAAATACAGAAAATAAATAGAGACCCCACATTTCTAGCCACTGCTGGAGTTTAATATGTGGCAAATGCAGCATTTCATAAGGGTAAATAATACCTATGATTTTCAATGCATTAATAGTTTAACTAATTTTTCAATTTTACAGAAATAGCAAGCTAATTTAAGTTTGGTCAATACATATAGTAATATTTCCAACATCATCTGTCAGCTAACTTTAGAGCAAGGCTCTCTAACTTTACAGAAAAAAAAAACAACAGGTGTTGCTGTGTGTTGAAATTCCCTGCTGAAGAGCAACCTGCCTGCTCTTTGCTTATGTACCACCTCTACACATATAGCTAAAGCTCGGGTTAATAGGAGCAGGTGCAGACATAGAGGAACGGCAAATAACGCATGGCTGGTTTCACTTTACAAACTCCATCTGTTCACGCTAACATGCTGCAGTTAGGGGACATGCCCTGCCATCAATTTGCGAGTAAATATATCAAACTAAAACAAGTGTGGGTTCCATTAACCTGATTCCGACCCACCGAGTGGAAAAGCCTGACCTCAGCGCTCATGCTCTCGGCGGATGAAAGGTGAAGAATGGGTGAGCAAACAGCACAGCGAACACACCTCATGTTTGATGCCTTCCATTGCCGCTGCTTTCATCTGTGAGCACTGTGGTGTTAGTGCCTAGCAGGAATGTCAAGTTGAGGTATCAAACATAAAATTCATTGGGCAGAAACCAATAATCTAGCCATGAGCGTGTGATGCAAGTTCATTCACATCTGAGAGGGAACCCGAAGTCTGTGAAAGCGATGTAAGATTCCCCGCAAACTTTGATTAATTTCTGATTAAGAGTATGTATAGATTTATGAAATGTTTCCTTTCTGGGTATGCTGATTGTTTTATGCAGTCCACAACCATCCGTGTAATGACTGCGGATATTGAAGAAGTCTTCTCTGAAGCGACCACACTCACTCTTTGTCTGAACGAGACTTTTAACATTTTCATTCGGTTTTCAGTCGCCTTCTCTCCAAATAGAGTCCAATCAATGACATTAATAAAAGGAAAGGAAGAACGAGTGCAGTGCCACCCTTGCACTATTTACTTTAATTTAGGTGAGGAATGAGAAACCTTCTCGTAATGAACAAATAATATAACTAGGAAAACCTTGAAGCTGATTGGGTGGTATTTAGGGGGATAAAAAGAAGGTCGACAGCATAATATGGATTTAGGTGGTCGGCTCATTTGTGCAAGGGATTTGATTGTTAGGCAGACTGGAAGCTGTGAAGAAAACTTTAGGAGAGGGAAAAGGCTAATTGGCCAAAAGTCCAGAGTTCTCTAATTTATATATACTTCCTAGCAGTTTCGTCACTGCTTAGCTGCGGTGAAATGTAACGCACTCTCTTTGTGGAAAGGTTTCTGGCAGCTGAATGAAGCTTTACGCATTCATACAATAATACCCCTAATGACAACTAACTAGAGCTTTAGATGCGTACATCCATACACCTGCAACTGCTTCCTCCACAAGGAGTATACCAGATTGTCGTATAATTGCAGGAGATGAGAAAAATAATTGAGTCAAGGAATCCCAGAACTGTCGCTGGGTTTCTACACACAAAAAACACAGAAGTACAACATATTTAAAGTACAATACAAGTCGTGCAATGTGTAATTACTCCTGCAAAGACAATCAACATACTATACAGTACATAGAGTGTATAAATATATGTTTTCATGGGGAAAATGGGCTTGTGCCCTTTCACCGAATGTGTAGTGTAAAAACAGCCAGCTGAAGTGTGAGTCGGCTGTGTCAGCAGTGCCTCACACTTATAAAGCACTGCTGGTGACTAATTCGAAGTCAACTACATCTGTTTCTGAGCTTGGGGAGCAGCAAGGTTGTTCATGAAAAGCTTTGTAGACTAATAAAGGGAAAGAAAAGCCTTAAATATTCAACAGTAAGCCTGCTAACTACAGAACAGAGGTACAGAAAATGACATAGAAACAAGAAATACATTAAAAGTTTCACACAGTAGAAAAGACATGTCAAAATCCCCC